CATAGGTTGCGTCATCAAGCTGGGCAAAATCATCCACCACGAGAGACTTCTCGAATCGACTGTCACTTCTATCGAATGAGAAGGAACAAAGTGTTCTATTTGTAGCCCGCTGGCCTGGGTAGAACACAGATCAGTGTATTGGAACGGGCTAACTGAACTTGAGTCAAAACGATTTACCGGGTTAACCGATGAAGTACAGATCAATATTCATTAGATCTGGGGAGGCCGAGAGCAAGGCCAACCAGTCACGTGACATTCGATGCGAGTGTGAGCTGCGATCGGATTTGAGCTCTCATCATACAAAGTATATGCCAAATCTCTTGAACGAAGAACGATTCGGCTTTTAAACGAGGGGAAAATGGCATTATGCGGTGGCATAATACTGAATCTGTTGGATTCAGTTGGATGGAAACCAGACTACGGAAGTACCCTAACATTCACTGTACACGTTCGTATATTGCTGAAAATTTAGCCTTTGGGTGGGTAAAGCTTTTCTTTACTTGACAAATTGTGATCAACAAGAGAGTATCGAACTTGTGTTAACCCATTTGATTTTTTAGAGGCGCAAGGCACTCTTGGTGGGCTTGGATGTGGGTTTAACTTCCATCACAAACATTTCCATCTGATTTGAATGCATTACCTCGTGGTGGCCTGCATGCTTATCCAAGACCATCGACTTAGGTCCGAAAACCTTCTCTCCTTTGGATCTGCTTAATAAAACGTGCCGAAAAATGTCATCAGATTCGTGAGCCTACGTAATATCACGTCAGGTTGTTTCATCCTTTGTTTACCAATGTGTGATATTCATCAACTGATACCGTGCCTCCATCGTTTCCCCTGGGTTGACTGCAAGAATCCTAAAATACTGCGTTGTGGTACTGATCTCCTAACATTTACTAACTTACTGAACATTTTCACAATTTCCGGTTGGTATTGGTTTCGGTAATCCTTATTCTAAGGGCGACCACCGTGGTGTTCCCATCGTGAACCTGAATCGAGAAATATGACAGTGGCAATAAGATTGTTCGAAGACAGTTTACACTTACTACTTGTGAATGTCATATGTTAATCAGAATTCACCCGGTTTACTTTATGTGGTGGAAGTGTTTAAGTAATACAATATGATCTCAGCGATAAAGATTATCGAATTCGGAGCCCATACTCAGAAAAGTGCATTTTGGAAACATTCCAATTTTTAAACTAGCATTTTCTTATAAAACTCTGTAACTGTTATAAAAATTATGACATCTTTCGATAACCCTCAGTACAGTTGATTTGATAGAGATATCTCATTCCGTTCCGTAAATATGGCCAAAATGGTCATTTTGATTGTTCAGTGCTTGAAGGTGCTTGTTCTGTGGTGGTGTCACAGAGATAGATTATGACCTGAAAGTGTTGAACAAACTGGATGTGAATCTGGTCAATACTGATGTGTATATCGATCGAGCATGATCTATTGGTGTTCGAGTGCAGCCGCTTGAAGTGTAGCTTATGAATTCCATTGCATCATCATGCGATAGAGGTAAGCCATGGCTCAAGCGTTGATCGCGCATGATTCACTGGTATCAGCGGAGGGGGACACACACAGGTGTACATGTACTAGCAAGTTAAACAACCGATATGTGTGTGTAACGTGGAGGACTTAGCCCACCGCTGCCATCGATTC